CACTCCAGACTCACGAAGCGACAGCTGCGGATCCTGGGAGACGAGGGTCAATGGCAGTTGGCCCATGAGTTGGGTTTCCAGTATCCGAAGGATCTAGACGGTGACTCCGGAGCGTCCTCATCGTGTTAGGCGTCATTCGTGATGGTGCATTTGGGGCGTGCAAGAGCCATCTGGAGCTGAGTCAAGTTCAAGCACCTGTGTCACGTGCTTGAAGGAGAGTGGGGAACCAAGAAAAGAGATCTGATTACCTCTCCAAATGGATAGTGTTATATAATTTGATTAATAGTGTCTAAGAATTCTTTTTTCTACAGGTTTATCCGAGGTTCGAAATACGTGTCAGAAGCGGATCCAGAGAGAGAAAGAGAGACGCAGAGGTCGTCTGACATGTGACTCCGCCATGACACCTATTGAACTCCTCGTGATTGAACTTTTTGTGACCAATATATTGATGTGTGTGTGTATGTGTGTTGGTTACTATTTGGTTACTATTTGGTTCGAAGCAGTAGAGAACGAACTATTGTCGTTGTATATTTTTGTACATAGTCAGTTATCTTTAAAAAGGATCGATAACTTGGATGGTGTGCATGTGCTTCAAGTCCCAACTGTGTCTTTGGCAAGGGGGCATGTCAGAGCTGATTTGAATTAGTGCCTCGACACAGTGGAACTTTCTAGCATAAGGCACGGTAAGGCAGGGGAAGTCTCGGCATGGTGAAGAGTTCCAGCGTGGATAGAATTCCCGCCGAGGAAATGCAGATTTGCATAATATGATTGGCTGAAGTTAAATTATTCCCACGTGGCGGCTGGCAATTGGCTCGCTAGCCATATAAAAGGTTAGGGGCGTTTCCGCCCTAGTTGGAGAACTCCGCGATTCCCCCTGGAGTGGAACTCTGGCAGCTTGATCACCTGCCAACGACTCCCCGTCGGCGAAGCCTTGCGACGTATCCTCCGCGTTGCATGCCCGAGTTAGACCCGAGCTACCCGGTCTACAAGAGCTCCTCGATTACCGATTAGAGAGTAGAATTGTAGCAACTACGATTGCCTGCGCTGTATACGACTCTACAGTGTAAGTAAAGCCATCTCTGTTTTCCAATTGATACGTGTCTCGTCTGTGCCTAATTCCGCTCCGGTGATAGAGAGTACCCATCTTCCCGTCACGGGATCGCAGCCGCAACCCCAGCTAGCGTTCCCGAGGACTCCTGATCCTTGATTCCCCCTTGGCCCCCACACTTTTCACTTTAGACCTAAGTAAAACCAAAGCATCCACATTTTTGTGTTTCAATTAAATGTACTGTTTTGTTCCACACTCTCTAAGAGCCTTGTACATTGTAATTTTAGGCAGCTTCTGGAGTTCTTAGCCCCTGGATTGTCTGCATGTTAACACATTTAAGTGGTTTAAAGCGGTTATTATTCATCTTAAAGTTATGCCACTCCAGGGCAGGATTCTCTCTAATCTGCATAGCCCAGCTCCTGTTCCACTAAGGTGTGACCACTCCACACAGCTGTTCTGCCCAAAGTGAAGTCTTCCAAAATCCAAGGATGAAGTGGCCCCTCTGCAGTTGGGATGAGTGGGGATGTCAGGGTGCAGCAAGGAAAGGCACAGCCCCTCTGTTCCACTGCTCACCACAGCCCCAGAGTGCCTGGCAGCTGCAGCGCCTCTTCCACCATGAACTGAACTGCCATTCCCTTTGCCTGGTGGAAGCAGTGAAGTAGTCCAGGCAGTGGGAGGCCCTACAACATCCAAGCGCTCTGGAGTTCACTCTGCCTGGCAGGAGCAGCGAGGTGTCTAAGCAGTGACTGAAGGCACTGTGGATGCACGGTCTCCAAGGCTGTGGTGTTTGCTCTGCCCAGCAGGAGCAGTGAGCCAGTCCTGTCCCTAGCTCCTAGTCCTGCCCCTGCTCACCAAGCCTCTAGTGGCAAGTCATGGCTGTGCAGATGAAGGGCAGCCTGTAATGATTTTTCACCTTAAGGTGCGACTGCTTCACTAAGCCACTAAGCTAACCACACTAAGCCGACTAACCACTGTGCAGTTTACAGCATAAGTTGCAGCAAGGGTCTAATACACATAGATACACCATACCTATTTTGACTTAAAGTCAGACTTAAATTTCCACAACATTAAGACAATTTTCACTCACCACAGTTGAATTCTTCCACCAGTAATGAGGCAACAGGCCTTCCCTGAAGTGTCTTGGGATATTCACATGAAGCAGCAGCCTGGGTATTGCCTTTTCTGGTATAGTCTTTTATCAGTTCAGCCAACCACAGTAACTCACAGTCACAAATTAAGGCATTAGAGTCCAAACGCCTGTGAATACATAGTTGTCTAGAATTAATATTAAGACATTTTATCACCTGACTTGATTTTATGTAATAGCTGCCTTTACCTTTTATGGTAGTATATAGTCTCTTCAAAATAACTACATCTGTGTGTCCACACATACATATACATATCAATAACACACTTACTACAAGCCTACTACATTTTGCATTTCTTGCCACCCTCCCACACACACACTGCTCAGGATTACAGCCTGTTCCTCAATAAAAAAAAATGTCTGAAGTACGGAAAAATAAAAACTCCAGCACAGAACACTAATAGCCACAGGGTGCAAATATCTACTAGAGAATCTGGCTATGTACAGGAAGACGTCTGCTACTCATATTCCTAAAGGGGTTTCTGCTTAAGTAACACTTCTATTTTGTGGAATTCCAAGTGCTCTATATAAAGGGATAAAACATTTAACTTTCATTCTTCTTCTAGATGAAAGGGCTTATGATTTTTTCCCCAAAGCTCCCTGTGAGAAATTAGCTGAAAGAGTGGCAACATTTTTTACTTTTCATGTGTGGAATCTAAATGATGGCTGGTCCTACTTGACACATTACCAAAGGAAGTAGAGCTAGGGAGCTTTTTCTCTCCTTCTCAGTGCAGTTTCACGATATAATTTGCCTCCCCACATATCAGAGAGCAAAAGAGGTTGCTATCTAGAACCACTTGTGAGTGCTACAGTATTTCTGGGTGGGGGAAAATCTATGGACCCAGGATCCTCTATCATTACTTTACACCAGAGCTGTCCAGATACCAAGCAGCTGACAGCACACACCCCAAGAGCTGCACTGGGGTCCCCACTCCGAGTTTCTCACCTTAAAGACTCCCCCCAACCCACCCAGCATTGCACCACATATCTGCAACCCTCCCTTCATCATTCCACTCTGCCCATGAAATCCTCCCCCACCCCTTTTTCCACAGCTACACTGCATGGGGCAATTTGGGGGGCGGGGGGGGATGGGGACGGGACGGGACGGGACGGGCAGCCAGGTAGGAGCCTAAGAGTCTCAATTTAACTCCTCGCAGGCTACCAGTTGGGCAGCCTTGCCTTATGCAGGGCTCCAATTTGTTATCTGGTTCCAATTTGGCAAAGCACAAAAGTACAAGCAAAAGATGACTTTCTCTAGACTGTAGCTTGTGCTTAAGGCCTCTGAAGTCACATTTAAAATTCTATGTCTCCTTAAAGACTTTCCTGAATTGAGGTTGCTAGCAGAGTTTTTTCCAACCATCCCGAGCATAGATCCATTTATGGAGAAGCCTACCTAGGCCCTATTTCAGCATGATTTTCTTTTTTCTCACAACTACTATATGCCTTTAAAAATATATATCTTCTATATCTTTATTTTGCTCATGGTGACAGTCATTTTCTTTTAAATGCTGGGTCAAAGAAAAAGCTCAGTCCCAAAAGTAATATTAATAGGAATGCCTCTCGAAAAGCCCACATTATTTAGAAAGAAAGGCAGCCTGGAATTTGAACACAAATTTCTTCAGGCCCATTATTGTTTAAAAAACCCTTATTTTACTGGGCACATAACCACAGAATGGTATAGTCATTTTCATATTTTTGTGATGTGCTCTTCTTTGGGAAATGTACTATTTATCTCAATACACTCATGGATTTTGTGGGCTGCTGGTCATATTCCTGGGATAGGATCTTCATAGAAGATATATTCACAGGCCCTTCTTTTTTACCCATCCTCAACAAAATTAGAATATTTCTTATTCTAAACATTAGGGTAGAGCGGTTAATTTTTCATCAAAGCACTATTGCTTAGGACCGGATTTACTGTATTCCAGATTATCCATCTTCATAGAATAGGTCCAAATTCTAGAATAGACTCAACAGATCAGGACAAGGAGGATCCGACTGCTGTAACTTAGAGTTAATACTGATTTCCATTGCTACAGTATCTAAACAACTCCCTATTCTTGAACAAATTTACCCTCCGAGAAGGGAGAGAAGTCCTGTTGTCCGAATTTCATAAATGAGGATTGGAAAAACAGAAACTGACACAGATTATATTAGAAGCCTTGGGCAGAGCCAGGAACTGAATGTTGGGGTCCCAGGTCCTTTTTCGCATTTGTTTAGGGGATACATATTAAAAAGTATGCCTTCACAAAAATAAGATAGTTTAAGTCTCTAAACATATTTTGTAGCCATTTCTTGTAAAGAACATCCTTCAGGCTCTCGTCTTGTTGGCTACTCATCACGAGAAGCAACATATGTTGCTTGAAAGTCAATAACAGAGTTTTAAAACAATGGAATCAAATACGAGAAAAAAAAATAAGGACCAGAATTTCTCTCTCAACTTCAAGAAGTTTAATGACTGAAAACTTTAGAAAGAAAAATGCAACATTTAGAATGAGCTCAGTGTTCTCACAGTACCATGAGTTTGGAGTTGGCTTTTCTCAAAATGGGACTGGTAGCCCCAAAACACTATTCTCACCTCAACTTATTTGCAAAGCTTGCTTTATCAATAGGAGTTACACATGCATAGGGAAATAGACCCCTAAGGATACGTTACTAATACAGAGACACATAAATCCTTAATTTCTCATTTTCTTTGATAGCAATGTTACTCACCCAGTATGACTTTTTATTAGCAATATGGTGCTAGGGTAGTCTTTTCTCTGGTGTTCTCATGTTCCTGGCTTTTGATAAGGAAACAGCTAAGGAACAAAGCCCTATTTCTACTGCTGTAAACTTTAGGATTTTCAAAGGTAACAGTTAAAATACTAAGATTGTGACAGTGAAAAAGACTTTTGTGTGGCCATAATTCACCTAATTACTTATGCACATACTGAAATTTAAGAATGTGTTTAAGACAATTATGTCAATTATTTAACTTTAAACACATGTTAAACATGGATTAGTGAATAGCAACAGTTGTAAGCACATATCTAAGTGTTCTGCTACACTGGGACCAAGCTGCCGATTAAATGAAACCCTGATAAGCTGGATATTTCTTGGTGTTGGTAAGCCTAGACCTGATTCACAGCAGCAAAACTTCCTTCAAGTCCAAAGAGGCCTGTTCTCTCAGTTTTAAGCAAGAATTTTCACATGGGGCTTTGGAAACATTATGGTAGAAGAAACAGTAATCAGAAAGTTGTTTAAGTTTTGAAGCCACAAATCTGGAAGTAAGAGATGAGCAGTGACAAGAAGGGCCTCTGAATCTCCTTAATTTCTTTCCATTGTTTATTAATTATGGGAAAAAAACACTTCATAAGCACTGATGTGTGAGAAACTCAGCATCTCCATATACACTGCCCAGGCTTTTGCATCCAAAAGAGGTCACTCCTGTTTTGCTATATCTTTCAAGCAAGGATTACATTCAGCGAGCTAATGTCTCACTTGGTGAAATTCTATTGTAATACCAAGAGACAGGCAGAGGCCTACTATAAGCACAATTTTATATATCTGTTCTTTTCCTTGAACAGGAAGTTAACATCACTTCTAGGATAATGGAACATGAAAATAAATGCTTAATAAATGCAGACATAACATTAAATTCACCATTTGGTTTTCATGTCTCCAAAGAAGGTCACCATTTCAATTAACTGATTTTACCAATCTCTGTCCTGATTTGGCCTTCATTGTCCCCATTTCAAATTCAATAACGGCTATTGACATCCACCTCATTTTTCATTCTTCAATCATGTTCTTCTCCCCCTTTTCTTTCATCCTTGTCTTATTTTATCTTATTTCCTTTCACATTTACATCTTACACAACATTTGAATAATTACAGTACATTAAGTCAGTATCTCTTTGCTGAAGTGAAGAGCTTGCCAGTAACAGTTTATCAGAATGCTGCTGTCATTATTTAACTAACCTAATTAAAAACATTTCTTCATAGTTCACAAGGTTTTGCTGTAGAACAGGAATACCATTATTTACAAAAGTGCTTTGAAAAACTTACAGCCTCTTTAGCGAATCCAGATGAGAAAAACTTCCAGGTGGGATCTTAGAAAACTTGTTGTTATGCAAAAATCTGAGAAATACAAGATGCGTCTTAATCAAGGTGCAACCAAAAATCGTTTATAGAATCATAGATTATTCTCATAAAGAGCACGTCTCTGCACTGCATATTTTAAAAGCCAACAAAATATCCTTGCAAAAAGTTTTCAAATATTTACTTATAGATAATGCCTCTGTTCATGAAAGGTAGTGCTAAGTCTTTTTCTAGTCCTATTATTTAATTATAACTTGCTAGGAAAATTGTTATATTTATTTCAGATGATAAAAACAATGTCTTTGGTCATTTATGGCTAATGGCATTATTTCCTCCACTATAGGGCTACTCTAACTAAGGTCATGTAGTATAACAAAGGAGGGGTGACCCAGTCAGCCCTGGGCACCATCTTTGTGGGGAGGATGCAAAAAAAGCTGCAACCACAACAGCAGTTGATCATGCCAATGCAACTGGCACTCTGGCAGCCAGCTTGGCCAGTGCCTCTGCCAAGTTCCATCTTATCTAATTAAGTACTCCTCTGTCAGTTCCTCCCTTCTTCTTGAATGATACACTTACTCTTCATTTTTTTCTAAGATGTGCCTAGCAACTCTACACAACAGTATAATAGTGCCATTGTTTCCATGAAAAGTTGTTAAGAACATCTTTTTTGTTTTTATCTAAGACATTTTCTAGATAGGATTCCTCCTAAACCATGCTATCCATAACAGTGTAGCTTCACCATAGCAAACTCTGAACACTTATGTGCAAAGCACCTATCTACACTGATGGAATGGAGCTCTGCTTGGAAACACTATAATTTCCATTGGAGGAAATTGTGATGTTACCTCTTCTCATCAGGTGTTTAGAGCTCTGGAAGGAAACCAGCCCATGATATCAGGAATAACTTCTTCACGGTAAGGGCAGCCAAAATTTGGAATGGGCTTCCAAGGGAGGTGGTGCTCTCCCCTACCTAGAAAGCTGGATAGGCATCTCGCTGGGGTCATCTGACCCCAGCACTCGTTCCTGCCTAGGCAGGGGGTCAGACTCGATGATCTGTTGACATCCCTTCTGATTCTAACATCTGTGAATCTATGATGTCCATACATGGGTAAAATCATTAACTTTGACAAGTTTTTAAACTACCCCTAAGAAACAAACAAACAAACCAACCACCAAACAACAAGTTCTCTGCTTTAAAACCCTCCTAGAATTTTTGTAGAAATTTAATGCTGAAGGAAAGCTACACTCCCATTTAGGGTGCTTTAAAATCAGGTAATTCAAATGACTAATAACTTGGCATCCCCACAGTTATACAGTTCAGACATGAGAGCTGTTCTTGAATGATGGGGATCTTGAAAGACATCTGCACTGCAGTATCTTGCTACCATAGCTATCACATTTTTCCCCTATTTTTCAGCACTTCTGTAACTAAAAGGGGACAGGGTTTTCTGCTGTCAGAAGGATGATGATAAAGACAAGTAATGAACAAAGAATCAACGAAACATGTGTCCAGCCAGGACTTACAGTCTCTCTAGTTTTCGAAGTCCTCTAAAGGTTTCTGGCTCAACTGTTTCTATTTGATTGAAGTGAATATAACTGTGGAAAGACCATAAACAGAGTTAGCTCATCCTTGTTGGATTTTGTGAAGCAATTAGCTAGAAAAGAAATCAATGGTTTTGACTGAAAATACCTAATGTACCCAAAACAACCCTGCAGAGTACAATCTCTGTAAAGAGGAAATCTTGAAGTATTTTTAACAGTGCTTTCCCTGCTGTTCACAGCACCAGTCTAAGAACCCACTGATACAGAAGAGGTGATGCTGATACCTACCAGCAGGTAACGACCCCAAGCCATCACTGTAACTCAGCAGAAAAGCGCCTGCTGCACTTATTATTCTGTTTAATGAAACTCATTTATATTAACATTTGCTTGTATAATAATTTGGAATAAAACCAGGAAAAAGAGTTATGTAGCAAGTGGCCAAATTTTCGCATTGTAGGGATAAAGAATCTCTGAAACAGAGCTAATGGAGCAGAGAAAATAACCAGGTTAGATTTTCCTTTTAATGTTATTCTAGTTATGTGCATATATACATAGTTTGCAGATATTTTATGTGCCAGCAGAGCAGGTACATACATTTTCTCCACTTACATTCACACATTTTAAGATACCATTTAGTTACTTGCAAGCCTGACATTTAAAACAGGCTCCTATAAATGTCATGGGTGGGATGCTAGAAATATTGAGTTTTAGAAAACACGAGGTAAAATGCAGAGGGCACAAATTAAGCAGAGATCAGGAATTATCAGGTGCATGTCAGATGCATATTAAAAAATAATGGCAATTGTAACCTCTAATTTCACTCACATTTTAACACTACACCTTCACTCCTACCTGTCACACAGACTGCTATTGAACCACCAAATTCAGAATTTCTACAGTGTACCAAAAGAGAAAAATTTAATAAAGAGCTGATATTCAGTAGATAGCATTGGAGCACTAGATCCACAGGGCTGGATATTCGGTGCATTGTGTAATCACATAATTCCACTTAAATTAATGGAGTAATACTGATTATCTGGTAGAGGGCCAAGAAAAGATAGCCATATCTATGTTGGAAAATTAGTCAGAATATCCACTACAAAAACTATTATTGCAGAACAGCATGTCTGCACAGAGGACAATATCAGAATTGTTATCCTTGCATAGCTTATTTCAAAAAAGCAATTTTACTGGGTAAACAAGACATAAAACTACTAAACCATACACAATTTCTAAACTCTATGGGCGTGTCTACACATGTATTAATGTGCTGTTGCTACTGCGCATTAAGTTTAGTGCCTTTAATATGGTGGTCTCCAACCTTTTTATGGTGAAGATCACTTTTTGGAAGTAAAGGGCACCCCAAGATCTACCGTGTCCCCCACCACTCTATCCCACACCATCTTGCCACAACCCCCCCCATCCCCCCCACTGGGACATGCGTCCCGCCCCCCAGGTGGGCAAGGGGCTGAAGCTCAGATGGAGAAAAATGTAGAAATAACAGTTTATAACAATTTATAATGACGTGGCTGCTGCTGTGGACTGCCTGCTGTGCCTGAAGCCCAGGTTGGGGGGACAGGGGCCCCCGAGGCCTCTGCTGGGCTGTGCCCACTCGCAGGAGCCCCCATCACATGCCCCTGGGCAGCACAGAGCCCCAAACCAGGCCAGGCTGGGGTCCAACACTGCATTCCTTCAGCTGCCAGGTAAGCATGGCTCAGCTCAGTGGCTGCAGAGAAATTGGGTTGGGCCCCAGCTGTGACTTGGATGACTACACAGTCCGGTGGGTGGTGAATTGGCTAGGGTCGCACGCAGAGAGTTGTAGTGGATGGGTTGGTATCGACCTGGAAGGATGTGGGCAGTGGAGTCCCACAGGGCTCGGTCCTAGGACCGATACTCTTCAATGTCTTCATCAGCGACTTGGACAAGGGAGTGAAGTGTACTCTGTCCAAGTTTGCGGATGACACAAAACTGTGGGGAGAAGTGGACACGCCGGACGGCAGGGAACAGCTACAAGCAGACCTGGACAGGTTAGACAAATGGGCAGAAAACAACAGAATGCAATTCAACAAGGAGAAATGCAAAGTGCTGCACCTAGGGAGGAAAAATGTCCAGCATACCTACTGCCTAGGAAATGACCTGCTTGGTGGCATGGAAGCGGAAAGGGATCTTGGAGTCCTAGTGGACTCCAAGATGAACATGA